ATCTCTCTGCTGGTTCTTCTCCTACCTCTCTGACCACTCCTCTGTCTCCTTTGCTGGATCCTCCAACCACAGGTGTCCCTCAGGACTCTGTCCTGGGCCCAATTCTCTTCTCAGTCTATACTAGTTCACTTGGTGATCTTATCACCTTCCATGGATTTAATTACCATCTTTGCTGATGATTCTAAAATCTACCTATCCTTCCACATTCTCTTTGCTGACCTCCAGTCTCATATCTCCAACTGCCTTTCAGACATCTCAGACTAGATGTCCAGTAGACGTCTTAAATTCAGTATGTCCAAAACAGAACTCTTTATCTTTACCCCTATACCCTAATCCTGTCTTACCTTCCCTCTTACTGTGGAGGGCAATACTCAGACTCAGAACCTAAGAGTGGTCCTGGTCTCCTCATTATCTCTCAGCCTATGCATCCAAAGCCAAGGCCTATTGATTTCACCTTTTGAACATCTCTCAAATACTCCCCCTTCTCTCTTCTGACACTGTCACCACACCAGTGCAGGCCCTCATTACTCATGCCTGTGCTATTTTAATAATTTGCTGGGTCTGCCTGCCTAAAATCCCTCCCCACTCCAATCCATCCTCCATTTAACCACTAAAGTGATTTCGCTAAAGTGCAGGTCCAATCATATCACCTTCCTACTTAATAAATTCCAGTGGCTTTCTGTTGCCTCCAGAATTAAATACAAAATACTGTTTAGCATATAAAGCTCTACATAACCTAGCCCATTCCTACATTTCCAGTGTTCTAACCACACCTTACTCCCTGCTGTGTATTCTTCAATCCAGTGAACTATTCCATGGCCATTCCATGAGCAAGACACTCCATCTCTTGGCTCCCAGCATTTTCTCTGGCTGCCCCACATGTCTGGAATGCTCTCCCTCCTCTGCTCTCTCTACTGACCTCCTCCTTGGCTTTAAGTCACAATTAAAATTACATCTTTTACTGGAAGCCTCTTAATTCTCTTGCCTTCCTTCTGTTAATTATTTCCTATTTATCATTTATTTAGCTTGCTTTGTATATATTTGTTTACGCGTTGTCTCTTTCATTAGATTGTAAGCTCCTTGAGGGCAAGGACTGTGTTTTGCCTCTTTTTGTTTCCCAGAACTTAACACAGTACCTGGTACATAGTAGGCACTTAATAAATGTACATTTATTGATTGAGTGATGTGTACTATGTCACTCTGTGCCTTCCTGGGCACTCTCTTCCCTAAAATAAAACTAGGAAGAACTCACACACCTATGATTCAGATGCACTGTGGGAGATAGAACCTGATCTTATACTGATTCATTGTAGCTCATTACTTTAAGAAAGCTAGGTGGTGCAGTGGATAGAATATTAGATTTGAAGTCATATTAACTTGAATTCAGATTCTGCCTCAGATGCTTTTTAGCTGTGTGATCCTGAGCAAGTCACTTAACCTCTGTTTGCCTCAGTTTCTCCTTCTGTATACATGGGGATACTAATAGCATCTACTTCTTAGGGTTGATGTGCCAATCAAATGTGATATTTTTAAAGTGCTTTGCAATCTTTAAAGTGCTATATAAATACTAGATTTCATTGTCATAGTAATAATAATGTTTATTATTATTATTATTGTTATTATTATTCACAGGATGATGGGGAGGGGGAAGATTAATAAGCAATTCTGTCCTGTAGAAAGTTTTTCACACAACAAACTCCACTCTCATGCTCCAAATTCTCTGTAGCATAGGAACAGAAATACTATCACCTAGCCCCTCCTCTGTGCTCTCTCAATCCCTTCTCTCATCTCAGGCTGGTTTCTTAACTTCCAACCTGACCAATACTACCTCCTGAAGCTTTAAATATGCCTGGGGAATTGAGTATTTGAGTACTCCCATAGACTTCTTTTGCCCCTCCTTCCTAGGAACCATGGCATCATTCCAGGCTCCTGAAAATCACCTTGCTTAAGAAGTTTTCCTTCCTTCCTTCTCTCCCACTTTCCCACTCCATACATCTAATCAGACGCAGGAGCATAGAGTTTGAGAGTTGGAAAGCAACACCACGTAGCTAGCCTCTACCCTACTGTAAATCCCTACTACATCTCCGACAGGGTGTCACTCAGCCTCTGCATTGAATCCCTCCAATGAGAAGCAGATGGAGTTTTTTAATCTTAGAAAAACATGGATACATTTGCACGAAATAATGAAGTGCAAAAGCAGAACCAAGAGAACACTGTAACTGCAATATTGTTTTAAGAACAACTTAGCAAAGCATGAACTTCCACTCGGAGAAGTGTTTTCTGACATCCAACCCAAGTTTGCTTCTTGTACTTCCATTCATTTTTCCTGGTTTTGCCCTCTTAAGACTAAAACAAAACAAGTCTAATCCCTCTTCCAAATGACAGCTCCTAAAATACTCAAATGCAACTATCCTGTCTTGCCTGACTCTTCTCTTCCCCAAACTTAGCATCCTCAGTTCCTTCAGCTGGCCCTGGTTGCCCTCTTCTGGACTCTTCAGCTTATCAGTGTCACTCCTAAAGTGTGCCATCCAGAGTTGAACACAGTACTCTAAATGTGGTCCTCTCAGTGCAGAGCAGAGTGGGGCTCTCATCTCTCTATTCCCTTAATATATCCTTAGTTTAGTGGTTTGTCTGTCACATCACACTAATGCCTCATATGGGGCCCGCAGTTCACTAAAGTCTCTGGATCTTTTTTCAGACAATCTGCTCTCTAACTGTAATTTCCCATTTTGTGCTTTTACATGAAGTTAATTTTTGTATTGACTGAAGTGGTGATTTCTGCTCTGCATCCTGTACCCAGTGGGAAGATAGGGAGGGAAAAGAGGGGAAACAAAGGATGCCACACCATAACAGATGAGCAACAACAGCCTGATGGGAAGTGAGCCTTTGCCAGCTCAAAGCCATTGGTGATACGTCCTGGGGCCAGAGGAGGGTCTTTGCTCAGGTAGAAGATATTCACAGCAGGGCCTTTGTTGGGGGGAGAGAGGAGAAGGTCCCACAGTCACTGCAGATAATAAGGGGCACAGAGAAAGGGAAGCTGAATGTTGGGGTGGAAGTGAAGGCTGGTAATATGAGGTTTACAAAATTCATGAGAGGTTTCCTTTGCTTTTAGCGGCAAGGCCAGTGGGGGAATGAAGTTATTCAGCATGGACGTTTTGTTAAAACAAAGGTTGTGGCTGTAGGTGTATTTGGAGAGAGGTGTGCTAGACTAGAATAAGGTTTTAGAGGTGCAGTATAATCAATCAACTAGCATTTCTTAAACACCTGCTATGTGCCAGGCACTGTGCTGAGCACTTAGGGATATAAAGAGAGGCAAAAAAAAAAATTCTTGCTTTCACGGAGCTGTAGTCTAAGGGAGGACTTTGTACCTGATATAAGGAGGCACTAGTGTATCATATAATTAAATTAGTATACACAACATTAGAAAAAGTAACTTTACAAATAGAAATGAATTTGTATTTGAGAGGTGTTATTTATAAAGAAATTAAAGAAGTTGGTAGGGAGCCAGTGGAGCAATAGTGAATGAAGGGGTCAGCTTTAGAATCAGGAAGACCTGGGTTCAAGTCCTGTCTGATACACGTTTGCCAAGCTACCAAGGACAAATCACTTAACTTCTATTTTTCCCCATTCATTTATTTATTTGTTTGTTTGTTTGTTTATTCATTCATTCATTCATTTATTTATTTATTTATTTTTAGTTTATGGAATAAAATAAGCATTTCCATAACATAGTATAATAAAAAGATGATTGCACATGAAACTGCAAGTCCAATATGTACAACTTGTTATTCCTTTTAAATATATAACAAAATTATCATGTACATTTCTTTTCTTTTCCTTTTTTCCCCTCTCTCCACCCCCAGCCTTAGAGATGGCTACTATTAGACACAAATATGTATATATGTGTAAAACCATTCTATACATACTTCTATCTATCAGTTCTTTCTCTTCACATGTCCTTTATAGTTAATTTGGGTATGTATAATAGTCAAAATGACTTATTCACTCTAAGTTGTTCTTAAACAATATTGCAGTTACTGTATACAGCATTCCTTTTGGTTCTGCTCATTTTGCTCTTCATTATTTCGTGCAAGTGTATCCATGTTTTTCTAAGATTAAAAAACTCCATCTGCTTCCTATCACTTCCAGGATCAAATATGAAATTCTATGTTTGATATTCAAAGCCCTTATTAACTTCCCTCTCCACTCCCTTTCCAGTCCATCCTACCACATACTGTGTGATCTGGTAAAACTGGCCTCCTTGTTTCTAGAAAAAGAAAAACCATCTCTAGACCCTGAACATCTTCTCTGGTTGCTCCCCTTGCCCGGAATGCATTCTCTCCTCCTCTCTGCCTCCTGGCTTCCCTGGCTAAAGTCCCACCTTTTACAAGAAGCCTTTCCAGGTTTCCCCTAATGCTAGCGCCTTCCCTCTATTGATTATCTCCAATTTATTTTTTATTATATCTTGTTTCTACATAGTTGTCTTCATATTGTCTCCCCCACTAGACTGGGAGCTACTTGAGAGGTGGGACTGTCTTTTGCCTTTCTTTTCTCAGTACTTAACATAGTGCTAGGCACATAGGAGGTGATTAATAAATGTTTATTTACTGACTGTCAGTGTACCACCAAGAGACTCTTGAAGACTGCACTTTACCAAAGAGCTGCCCATTTGCTTTAGTGGAATGAGGGTAATTCCCTACATAGATAAACTCAAGGATCTCAGTCCAAAAACAGGTGTTATTAGATGCAGAATTAAAGGGTGAGGATGTATCAAGTGTTACTACCAGTATTCTGGGTATGGGAGCAGATCAGATGGCAGGATGTCTGCCATGTTGAGCTTCAGATGATAGCGGCAAGTCCAGCTAAATAACAGGGCATGAAGGTTGAAGAAGGTAAGGTTTTGTGTCATTTTAAACAATATGCTTTATCTTATACACATGTAGAAGTAGCAGAGCCAAATGGGGCTTAGGTGTTTAAAAATTATTATTTTTCAAAACCAGGTTTGTTACAGAAAGAAAAAATTGCTATTGAAGCATTTCAGATTTGCTGTCTCCTCCTGCCTCCTGAAAATCGGAGAAAGTTACAACTGTTGATTAGGATGATGGCGAAGATCTGCTTAAACAAGGAAATGCCACCGCTCTGTGATGGCCTTGGCACCCGTACTCTGGTATGTTGGTCTCTCAGGCTTAACGTAATTTGGATATTTTTAATTATGTGCATATGACTAGCATTTATTAGGTTAGGTAAGGAAATGAAGCTATATAGACAAAGCTGACTTGCTTAAAATACTTTTCACACTACCCGTCTCCCTTTCCTTCTGCTACATATACCCCATTGTCAAGCAGAGATGAATCAGGTTATTGCTGTTTTCCTTTTGTAAAGGGCTCAATTAAGAGAAAGTGGAGTCTAGGAGTAGATTTAGCTTATCATTGTTAGTAGCTGCTTCCCGTTTAGGAGAACCACTTATTTCTTTGATACATAAAGGCCCTGAAGGGTACTCTTGGAAAGGCTAGGTGAGCTCCCATAAGAAAAATTTTCTCCCTTTCCTAGATCAAAGGAATGGGGCTGCATGGGAACTGATAGTGCCCTATCTCTTACCAGGTATAATGGATTGGAGAGAGGTGGCATAGAGGCTGGATTGAAGCGGAAAGATATAGAATACAGAATACAGAATTGGATTGGCCTATAAGACACCCTACCACCCCTCACCTACTACCTCCCTCCAAAAAGGCATTTTATCAGTTTTAATTTTCCTTTACCTACATCGAGGAGACAGAAGCAGACCCAGCTATCTCTCCCTGTTGTCTTTCTGCTACACACAAACATCTCTTAAGATAAGACATGATTTGCAATGTGTCAGATAGGAAGTTGTATCATACAGAATTATGGCTTTACACTAGACAACTTTATGTCTGTCACAAGCATACAAATGAGATTTTTAAAGCCATTCAATTCCCCTACAAATACACTCTCCTGCTTCCCCTTCAGAAATAATTTTCTTCTTTTGGCAACCTGAGAACCACAAAGAAATCCTAGTAATATTGAAGAAAAGGTTGTAGAAACCGGAAAGAGAACCACTTTCTTATTTTTGATGAGAGGATGCTACCTGTTAAATCTGATCTTAGCTACTGCATGTAAACCTTCCTTTTCTTTTTTCTTCTAGGGCAGATTATGAATATGTTAGGCTGAAACATTTAGACTTTAGAGGTCATTGAGTCCAATCCCTTCATTTTATTATTTTTTAATATTAAAATTTGTTCAACTAAAATATTTTTTCTCTCCCTCTCACCAACCCCCTCTTTCCTACTGAAAAAGAAAGAATAAAAAAGACCTTGTAACAAATATATAGTCAAGCAAAGCAAATTTCTGCATTGGTCATGTCCAAAAAATACATTGTACTGTGTCTTGAGTCCATTATCTCTCTGTAAGGAGATGGCTAGCACATTTCATCATGAGACCTATGAAAGCTCACTTAGTAATTGCGTTGATCAGAGTTCTTAAGGATTTCAAAATTGTTTGTCTTTTAAGCTACTATTGTTATATAAATTATTCAACACTTCAGTCCATATCAGTTCATGTAAGTTTTCCTTGGTTTCTCAAATTGTTCCTTTCATCATTTCATACATCATGGTAGCATGCAATTACATTCATAGACCATAATTTGTTCATCCATTTCATAATGATACAGCCCACTCATTTTTCATTTTATAGGTACAGTACAGAGAGCTCCGGACCTGGAGTCAGGAAGATTCATCTTCCTGAGTTCAAATCTGGCCTCAGGCATTTACCAACTGTGTCATCCTGGGCAAGTCATTTAATCCTATTTGCCTTAGTTTTCTCATCTGAACTGGAGAAGGAAATGGCAAACTACTCCAGTATCTCTGCCAAGGAAACCCCAACTGGGATCAGGAAGAGATGGACATAACTGAAATGACTGAACAACAACTAGACCTTATTTTATAGATATGGATGCTTAGGCCCAGTGATGTGCAGTTTAAGTGATGTGCCCAGGGTCACATAAGCATGTGAAAGAGCTGGGATTCAAACCCAACTCCTTTGTCTTCATATCAAGTGTTCTTCCCACCAGTTCCCATGGTAGTATTCCTCCTGATCTCCTTCATGACATTTCTCTTCCCTTCTCTCTCGTCTCCCTTGTGAAAAACTGCTGGGCTTGTGCCCTTATGGCAACATCTATTCACTTGTTTTTCTGCCCATCTGTATGACTGGCTAATGAGGTTTTTTCCTATCCCATCCCACCCTACTTCAATTTCATTATCCTTTCTATTCTTCTTAGCTCCCTTGAGAGCTGGAGAAAATAGCTAAGTTCACATCATTCTGAGAATCACTTACTTATCTTCCTCTTCCCGAATTTCCTTTCCCTATTTTGAGTCAGTGTTTTTTTTCCATTATGGCCCCCACTCCTCCTTAGTTCTAGTTCATTCTTTCTCTTTCTCTCTCTCTCTCTCTCTCTCTCTCTCTCTCTCTCTCTCTCTCTCTCTCTCTCTCTCTCTCTCCCTCCCTTCCTTTCCTCCCTCCCTCCTTCCCTCCCTCCCTCCCTCCCTCCCTTCCTCCCTTCCTCGCTTCCTTCCTTCCTTCCTTCCTTCCTTCCTTCCTTCCTTCCTTCCTTCCTTCCTTCCTTCCTTTCCTCCTCCCTCCCTCCCTCCCTTCCTTCCTCCTTCCTTCCTTCCTTCCTTCCTTCCTTCCTTCCTTCCTTCCTTCCTTCCTTCCTTCCTTCCTTCCTTCCTTCCCTCTTTCCCTCCCTCCTTTCCTCCTTCCATATTCCTTCCCTTCCTCCCTCCCTCCCTCCCTCCCTCCTCTCCTCCTTCCTCCCTCCCTTCCTCCCTCCCTCCCTCCTCCCTCCCTCCCTCCCTCCCTCCCTCCCTCCTTCCTTCCTTCCTTCCTTCCTTCCTTCCTTCCTTCCTTCCTTCCTTCCTTCCTTCCTTCCTTCCTTCCCTCTTTCCCTCCCTCCTTTCCTCCTTCTGTATTCCTTCCCTCCCTCCCTCCCTCCTTCCTTCCTTCCTTCTAAATTCTTTTCCCTCAGAACATAGAATTATTGAATTAGAGATGCAAAAGAACTCAGAAACCATATAGCCTAGCCCCTTCATTTTACTGATAAGGAAACTGGGACAAACAGAATTAAGTGACTTTCCCAGGGTCACACAGCTAGGAAGTATCTGAGGCCAGATTTGAACTCAGAAAGAGGAGTCTTCCTGACTCCAGGCCTGGTGCTCTATCCACTGCTCCACCCAGCTGCTACTTAGAGGGCAGTGCAGGTAGTGTAGAGAGATCCTTGAGTACTCCTGCTATTCCTCATAAGCATCTGAGGAAATTCTAGAATTCACATTGGATGATATGAATAGTTGTAGTGCTTTTATGTGGAACTTCAGAAGAATCATACCCATATGAGGTAATGAACTGAATGATCAACAAATATTTATTAAGCACCTATTGTGTGTCAGGCACTGTGTTGAGTAAGTACTGGTAACCTTCCTTTTGCTAACTTCTTCCTCTTTCTTACACCCAACACACACACACACACACACACACACACAGAGCTTTAATCAACCATCTGTGCCTTCCCAAGGAACCCAGTACAGACAAAAGTATCTTAGAAAAGGAGCAGCTCAGGAATAGTAGGTTTTTCTGCAAGAACCACTGTATGGGTTGGTACTCAGTATTATGGTAATTCCATCTCCTGACCCTGCTGAAAGAGAACATTTCATCACCCAATGTGCTTTTGTAAGCTGCCCACACAGTTACAGTAAGCAGGGGTTTGCCAAGTGAAAATCCAGAATATATTGCAATGCTTTTGCAGAAAATAAAATGAGAGCCCAGAAATGTGACTATTGGGGCACTCAGGCTGGACTAAGCAGTTTTCTCCTAAATTCATAAGGGTGCTCCATCATTTCGCTAATGTCTCTAAAGTGGCTTGAACTACTCATGGAAAACTGCTACATAAATATAGGTCATGGTGATGGTTGTGATTTCTCAGATTTGTTAACAGGCAGTTTGAAACCATTTAGGAGAGGGGGCTTTTAAGAACTGCTTTTTATAAGCTCTGTCTTTTATGAACTGTCTTTTTTTTCTTCTTGAGGAAAATGAAATGCTCATCTCAGGCGAGCTGGAATATGAGGAGCGGCCCCTCTGGGTTTGAAATATGTTTGGCCAGAAGTGTATAGTGTTTGGGGATATGCCTTTTTGTCCATGTTTTTACAGTTTTCATTTTAATTATGAACTTGACAATCATCAACAGACATAAAAACATTTCAATAGACAAGAACAAAAAAAAGAGAACTGTATATGAAACCATCAACTTCTGCTGAAATGTGTATTTTGAGTTATTGTGAATTTGGTAAGGTAGACACAAAACCTCTGCATTGTTTCTTCTGGAACATTCAGTTTTGTTTCATCTACATTAGGTGCCAGGGGTTAGGCTTGAAGTGATACTTTATCTGTTTTTCTTCTTTACAAACTTCTTTTCTTCCCCTTCCAGATGGTTCAGACGTTTTCACGTTGCATCCTGTGCTCTGAGGAGGAAGTCGATTTGGATGAACTGTTGGCTGCCAGACTGGTGACATTTCTGATGGACAATCACCAGGAGATCTTGCAGGCTCCCTCTTCCTTGCAGAGTGCAATAGAGGATCGAGTAGCCCATCTGCGAAGGGTCCAGGTAAAACTAATGAATAATGGTAACAGCTAGCATTGATGTCACACTTTAAAGTTTATCAAATGCTTTCTATGTTATTTCGTCTGATCCTCACAATGGCCCTTTGAGACAGATGCTATTATTATCTTAATTTTGCAGATGAGGAAATTGAAGCAGAAAGATCACTTGCCAAAGGTTGCATAGTTAATAAGCACGTGAGGGAGGATTTGAACAAGTCTTACTGACTCCGATTCCAGCAGTCTAATAATAATAGCGGGCATTTTTATATAGCACCTACTATGTGCCAAACACTTTGCAAATATCATCTCATTTGAGCTTCACAACAACCCTAGGAAAGAGGTGCTAGTACTGTCAATATTTTGCAGCTGAGCAAGCTGAGGAAAAGATAAAGTGACTTGCTCAAGATCCCACAATTTGTAAGCATTTGAGGTCATGTTACAACTCAGGACTTCCTGCTGCAGGCCTACTACTCTGTCCATGACACTCCCTAGCTGTCTGTTATACTATAGATTTGGGAGTCATCCTTGTAAAGTGAGATTTCAGGTGGTGGGACCTGATGAAATCACGAAGAAAGAACATAGAGCTAATGGAAGAGGGACAAAGTGCTGAGGAACACTAACTGTAACAGGACATGAGAGGATAATTATCTAGCAAAGGGGACTGAGAAAGAGCAATTAATCAATAAGTACTTACTCTGTACCTACTATGTACCAGGTGCTGGGAATAAACAATAAAAGTCTAGTGAAATCCAGTCCTTTTGGAGGATTTTTTATTCTCCTGTGGGGAGAAGGGGCAGAATTTGAAAGTTTGAAAGATGGGTTTGTTTTAAGGCAAAGAAAACGTCCGAGAGATAGAAAGAGAAGTAGAGAGGGAGTGTCACAGATGCTAAGTTACTGGAGCTGCTTGGGAGAGAGAGTGGTATCAAAAATTGCAAAGTGGTCAAGGAGGATGAGGATTGAGAACAGGCCATTGGATATAACAAGTAAGGAGGTATTGGTACCTCTGGAAGAGTGGCTTGAGTTGAATGATGGGCTTGGAAGCCAGATTGCAAGAAATAAGTAGGTGATGGCATAATGGAGACAATAGTGTGAATGACTCTTTTGATGAGTTTGGTAGTGAAAATTAGCAATGGGAAATAGGGTAGTAGTTTAATGGGACAACAGTATCCAGTCAAGGTTTTTAAAAGATAGGGAAGATATAAGCTTTTTTGTAGTAATCAGGGAAATCTCCATTAGATAAGGGAGTTTGGAGATGATTGATGACAAGCTCCTGGAGCAGACAAGAAAGGAATGAAGCTCAAGACTGGTATAAGGGTTGGTGTTGCAAAGAAGAGGGACCAACTATTACTCAGAGAGTGCAATAAAGGAAGAGAGGATAGGGAAAGAGGTAGTGGGTTTTTGAGGAGAAGAAGGATCTCATGACTGATGGTCTTCTATTTTCTCAATAAAGTAGGAGGCAAGGATATCTACTAAAAGGATGGAAAAGGCTTTGGAAGTTTAAAAAGAGAGTATTTGGTCATTGATGAAGACAATCAAAGAAGAGCAAAAGTTATGCTTTGCATCAGGGAGCATCTAGTTGTTCTTAGATAATGTACATTTGTAGTAGATCTGAGTACGGTCCTTCAGGGCTGTTCAGCAGCTCAGGGGTAAGAGCATAAAAAGGCCATGTTTAGGGTGACCCAAACTTGAGGATTAGCAGGGCATAACGAGTACTCAGTGAGGCCCAGGAGTCAAGGGTAGAAGGCAGTGTATAGTTGAGCTGGTGAACCATAGGATCAGGATTGCAAAGAGAAGAAGTGATGGAAAGGGAGAAGAACAGATGTTTAATTATTAAAAGAACAAGAAGGGATAGAGGGCCGGGAGACTGTGATGAAGATACAGGATAGCTTTAGGAAGAGTGAGGATAGTGGGGTATAATCATTAATGTGGATTGTATTGGAGAGGATTTGTAGAATTTTAGAATGACTGTGGATCAAAATCTAAAATCAAACAATGCATAATGTAGAAGCATTAATCTTTGTAGCTCTCTAAGTACCTAGCATAGTATGTTGACTGAGATGGATCCTTAATCAATGTTTGATGCATGCATGAGTGAATGAATGGATGGATGAATGAATGATTGAATGATGAAATAAGTACAGGCATACCTCAGAGATATTGCAGGTTTGGTTCTAGACCACTACAGTAAAGGATATTTTGGTTTCTCAGTGGATATAAAAGGTATCTTTACACTATACTGTAGTCTATTAAGTGTAATAAGTACAATAGCATTATGTCTAGAGAAACAAAGTAAATGTCTTAATTAAAAAGTACTCTATTGCTAAAAAATGCTAACCATTATTGAGACTTCAACGAGTTGTAATCTTTTCGTTGGTGGATGATCATGCCTTGATGTTGATGGCTGCTGAATGATCAAGGTGGTTGCCTAGCTTTCAGCCTATCTCTGCTTTTGACATGCCTTCCTCACTAAGCTTAATCATTTCTAGCTTTTCATGTAAAGTGAGGGATGTGAGACTCTTCTTTTTGCTTGAACACTTAGAGGCCATTGTAGGGTTATTAATTGGCCAAATTTCAATACTGTTGTTTCTCAGGGAATAGGGAGGCCCAGAAGAGAAAGAGAGATAGGGGAATGACTGGTTGGTGGAACAGCCAGAACACACGCCAATATTTATCAATTAAATTTGTCGTCTGATGTGGGCATGGAAACAATTACAATAGTAACATCAAAGATCACTGATCACAGATCACGGTGACAGATATAATAATAATGAAAAAAATTTGAAATATTCTAAGAATTACCAAAATGTAATATAAAGACACAATGTGAGCACGTGCTGTTGGAAAAAATAGCACCAATAGACTTGCTCAATATAGGGTTGCCACCAGCCTTCAATCTGTAAAAAAATGCAGTATCTGTGAAGTGCAATAATGCAAAACACAGTAAACCAAGGTATGACTGTATGTTGTCTGCTGGAGCAGGGGAACAGTAAAGAAGAGAAAATTTCATTTTCTTCCACTTAGGTGAGAGATGGCAGGAATTGGTTGTGCTCAAGTGATGAATAAAGAGGTAGGCTTCTTCCCTTACTAACTAATAGATGTGGGTGGTAGCACAAAGTTTCCCCAATATAGCAATGGCTCTTTCCTATTTGAAGTTCCTTGGCTGTGTACGCTCACTGATAGCTGGGATCTTCATGTTTAAGTACAACTCCTAAGGGGATTGAGTCTGTTTTTTTTATTCTGATGGAATTTTTCACTTTAAACCAAACTTAGACACAACCCTTGCAGTATCTAAATAACAAAAGGCAAATTTAAAAACAACCTCACTTATAAATTTTATTCCATCCATATTATACAAATAGCTTATTCAGTGAGAAAGATATGATTGCTCTCAATAAGTGTTTTATAATGGGCCCTGATATTGGATGAGTTAGCTCATGAGATGCTTCACAGCAATTTTCATTTTCATAGTTACTGTAATAAGGAAGCATTTGGGGGGGATTGTTTTGGTTAATCACCTTTCTGCTTAAAAAAAAGAATTTAAGAGCTTTGTTTTGTTTTTAACTTCGCTGAGCTTTGTTTATGAATGCTTTTGTAATTTTACTAGAATTACAGAAGAACTTTAAAAAATTTTGATAACATAATATGTACTCTATCACGGGAAATGAAGTGAAATTAAAGATAGCTATCTTTTTCCTTGCCTTATTTCCTGTATTTACATTTGATACTTTGGCTTTCTTGTCATGTACAGTCTTGTTAGTTTTACCAAATTTTCCATAACTAGTTTTGGTGCCCAAAACAAAAGCAGGATGTGTCTATGTCTGTAAATGAACACTTGGTTATTTTATTATTATTCTGTTCGCTAACACCATTGACTTTTATCATTAGGTGTGTTCAGTGATTGTTTCTGGGCCAATAAAAAGCCTTTTTCATTTGAACACTAGATTTTGACTGGTTTCCCATGGTCCTCAGTTATCGCCCAGGACATGCAGCCAAGTAGGCAGATAGGGTTAGCTCTGGGTGTTTCTCATTGCCATGACAGCTTCCTTTCTTTACAGCACCACAGGGTTCTGTAAAAACTGTTTCAGAAACAATAATAAAGTGTAACCTCCCCACCCCACCCCCGTTTTACAAATGAGGAAACTGAAACCCAGGGAGACGAAGTAGCTGGTAAAGCGTCACACTGTTTCCTAGTACCGTTCCAGCCTCCTGATTCCTTGTTCTTTTCATTAGATCTCACTAGTCCTTTTGCACAGTGAATTCTGTACTGGATATATGTATAAGTTTCAAGTGTTTCCTCCAGTGAGTTGATACTTCTTAAAACAATTAATATTTAGCTAACACATTCCATGGTGCTGTTAAACACTCTTCATTATAACTAAAGCCAGAATTCCTGAATTGACAAAAAATGTCACAGCAGCTCACCTTCTGTATGTACAAATAATTCAACTCACAATCTGAGGACTTGCCATATTCTAGGGTCCCAGGCTGGGTGCCATAGATAGGAAAACAAAATGAAAACGAGTTCCTGCCCTCAAGGAGCTTATATTACACTATTGGGGGAAAACAGTGCATATACACACACACACACACACACACACACACACACACACATACATGCATGCACCCAGATATATGTAAAATATACAGAGTAAATACAAATCAGCTGGGGTAGGAGGGAGTAGACAGCATTAACATCTGGGAAGCTCAGGAAAGGCTTTCTGTGAGGTTTTTTTTTTTAATTTATGAAATAAAACAAACATTTCTATAACATAGTATAATAAAAAAAGATGATTGCATGTGAAACTGCTAATCTCATCATGACTACTTGCTATGCCTTTTAAATATATAATAAAGTTATCATGTAAATTTCTTTCTTTTTTCTTTTTTTTCTTCGCCTGCCCTAGAGATGGCTACCATTAGACGCACACATGCACATCTATTTATCAGTTCTTTCTCTGGATACAGATAGCATCTTCATATGTCCTTTGTAGTCCATTTGGGTATTTATAATAGTCAAAATGACATTTTTTGCACAAAACTGTTCTTAAAGTAATATTGCTATTGCTACCTGAGCTGTGTTTTTAATGAAGCTAGTGATTCTGAGATTTGTAGGTGAGAAGGAGGTACAGTCCAGGCACAGAGGACCACCTACGCAAAAGTGGGAGTTGGAACGTTGTGTATAGTAAGTAGATGGATTTGACTGGAATATAAGATGCTTGGAAGGGAATAATGTGAGACCATTAAATAATATTTGTACTATTTTACTCTAGTAACTCAGCACCATAATGATATTAGTTAGTAAGTTGGAGATCAGAAAGTTGTCCCTACTGATGATTAATTTAGCTGCAGATAACTCATCTCATGAAGGTTTTGCTGCAGTGTGCACTGAATAAAATCAGGAAGTACTGAATTTTTGAATACATTTTCTCATTTTCTATAATACAGTGATGTTATCATTTCATGAAAGGAAAACAGAGTTTAGGTAACTTTTTAAGATTGCATGCCTCAGTAATGGCAGAGCAAGGTATGGAGTTCTAATCTTTACTCTGTTAGGCCACTGAGGCTTGCTCCCTGAGGATTTAGGACCACCTGTGTTAAAACGAACAAATACAGCCAAATACCCACAAAGTCCCCCTCTTGATTCTGGGAAAGCATCTTGGTAAATTATGCAAGGGATTTCTTCCAGTAAGGCTTAAATTGGCTTGAGAAGTTTTGTCCAGAGTCTCCCATTGCAAATGCCCATCTAGAGAGGCCTCCTTACTCTTCATCATTTATCTAACTCTTTTCTTTGACTCCCAAGTTAAAATTGAGCCAGCTTTTGGGCCCCATTGCCTAGGGGCCCATCTTCCTAATACATTTTAGCTAAGACATCTAATAAACTAATCTTTCCTTCTGTGTTAATGGGTTTTTACAGTATGCCCTTTATTGGCCATCATATTTTCATTTTTAACAGGGGCCTCTTGAAGACAGTTCCTTAAATGAGCTGGAAAAAGGGATGAGTAAGGGAGATAGCATCACGTAGTGGGATGAGTGCTCAATTAGGAGTCAGAAGATCTGAGTTCAAATCATAGCTTTTCTGGGCCTCAGCTCATCATCTGTAAAATGTGGGAGTTAGAATTTGGAAAGACTTAAGTTTGATCATTGCAATAACCAGTTACAATTTCAGAGGACAGATCATCAATAGTCTCAAGATGTAGACTGAGACATACATGTTTGGACGCAGCTGGAACAGGAAATTATATTGCTTGATAATGCATATTATTACATGGGTTTTATTTTTCTTCTTTTTTTCTACCCATTTGGGAGTCAGGTAGAAGAAAGAGAATTAGAAATGCTTGCAAAAATAAATAAGATACAAAATTTATTTTAACTATTTGCTGAAACCAAACATTGTTTCTTAGAATTTAAGCAAGAATTATATGAAACAAATTGAGTTAAGTTCTTCTGAATCAAACTCCAGTTTGAAGCGTTATACCCTAAGGATAAATTATTTTGAAATGACAGAAACACTTATCTGATCCCCTGGGATTTCAAGAGGGCAGCTAGGTGGCGCAGTTTGGATACAGTGCTGGCCCTGGAGTCAGGAGAACCTGAGTTCAAATCCAGCTTCTGACACTTATTGCCCTGTGACCCTAGGCAAGTCACTTGGAAAACTAGGCAAACCCTGTTTACCTGAGTTTTCTTTTCTTAAAATGAGCTGGAGAAGGAAATGGCAAACCACTCCAGTATCTTTGCTAAGAAAACCTTAAATGGAGTCAGAAAGAGTCAGATACAACCAACTGACAAAACAAGAACAAGGAATTTCAGGATTGATACCTGGTATGCTAATTTAGAGATATGCAAACAAATTTTTCCAAGCTCTGTGAAGGAGTATTATTTTTTTTCCAATAACTTTGTTTTTTCTCTTTAGATAAAATACCCAGGAGCGGATACTGATGCAACTTTGTCTGCCCCACCATTTTGTCGTCAGATTAGTCCAGAAGAATTTGAATACCAAAGAGTATGTGGCTCCCAAGAACCCCTGGCAGCATTGCTGGAGGAAATCATCATGGATACCAAACTGTCAGTCAAGGATAAAAAGAAAAAACTGAAACAGGTAAAGCAAAAGGGAAGAACAAAGGACATTTCTAATCCTTTTTTTAAAAACCGATTTTCTTTGTTTTCTTTTCACGATTTTGCTTTATTTATTTTCTGTCTCCTTTGAATTTCATATTCTGAGTCATACTGGTTTTGTTATATGTATTTATTCGGCCCACATACTACAGCTATCATGTTGGTCTGCATAGTTGGAATCAGTTCCAGGAATTCCTCTGTCTAATGTGGATTTATTTTCTAATACACTCCTCATTCAGAGCTTTATTTTTCTAGGATTGTGCACGTCGCTCAGGTAGGTGGTAAGAGATGGGTGAGACGAGTGTTTGATCAGAGTTCTAAAGGGGGCATCAAATGGAAACAGATGAATCATTTTTTCCTTCCCCTGAATAACAAAATATTTAAGAAAGGGCAAAGTGAAAAAGCAAGAAAAACAAACAAACAAAAATTCAGTAGTATAGTCCCAGGCTTTATACACATATGCACACAGTGCTTTAAAGAAGGGAACAAATCCCCAAAAACTAAAGCATTTAGGTGTGTTCAGAGTAGCAGGTATGCTGGTATACCTTGGTACATGGACCTCTATTGACTCTTGCCCTTCCCTTTAGCAGAAGTTCTTAACTTGGGGTCTGTGAACTTGTTTGTTTGTTTTTTAAGGTATTTTTATTTATTTTGTTAAATATTTACCAATTGTAAATTTTTTTTGACATTCATTTTTTAAATTCTGAGTTCTAAATTCATTCCCTCTCACCTGTCCCCTCCTCCATCACTTGAGAAGGCAAGCAATATGATATTGATGATACATGTGAAGTCATGCAAAACATATTTCCATATTAGCCATGTTGCAAAAGAAAACACACACACAAAAACCCAAGAAAAATAAAGTTAAAGTATGCTTTCATCTATACTCATAATTCATCAGTTCGCTCTCTTTATAGGTGGATAGCATTTTTCATCATGAGTTCTTTGGAATTGTCTTGATCACAGTAGCTAAGTCTTTCATAGTTGATCATTGTTACAATATTGCTGTTACTGTGTACAATATTCGCATGGTTCTGCTCATATCACTCTACATCTGTTCATATAAGTCTTCCCAGACTTTTCTGAAACCATCCTGCTCATTTCTCATAACACAATAGTATTCCATAACAATTCTATACAACAACTTGTTCAGTGATTCCTCAACTGATGGGTATCCCTTCAATTACCAATTCTTTGCCAACCTGAACTTGTTTTTAAAAAATATTTTAATAACTATATTTCAATAATTGGTTTACTTTGTAATCCTATGTATTTTATGTTATGTATCTATAAATATTATCCTGAGAAAGGAGCCCTAGGTTTCACCAGACTACAAATTGGGTCCATGACACAAAAACTCACCTCCCTCAGGGGAAGGACAAATGGCAATGCTCACCCCAGAATGTGTTGGCCTATTGGGCCCATACTTTCTGCACACCTGTGTTCATTCTCCAAGGACAAGAAAGCATCTGCATCAGCTGCCTTTGGAAGCCTCTCTTCTGAGTTCCCATGTGCCCAGCTATGCTCCCCCTCATACAGCTCCTAGGTGAGATCTCAGATGCCCCTTGCCATTGCTGTCCTCCTTCCCCTGAGGCTCTGCCCTCTTCCCTGCTCCTCTGTCTCCCAAGCTTCTTCCCACTTCTTCTCCACCACACTGCTGCTGTGATTGTCAGTGGTACTGCCATCTGCCCCTGCCATTGCCATTGCTGCTGCTGCTGCTGCTTCTGAGAAGAGTCATCATTCACTGGAATGAAGAGGACTCTGATGTACCTTCAGGCCAATCTACATATAAATGAATCCTTTCAAAATTTTTTTTAAATGAATCACCTCAAATTCAATCTTTGTTGAGATTTAGAAGTCATCTTGTGTTTGTTCAGGTGGAGAAAGCCAATTTCCTGTTTTGCCGCAGGTATTACCTCATGTCGTCTCCGGTACTCTAATAGAGTCATACAATGTTAGATGGACCTTGGAGAGATCAACTGCCCTGAATCCTCATTTGATGTAGAATGAAACTGAGCTCTAGAGAGAAAAGTCACCTACCTGAGGCCACACAGCCAGTCAGTGGCAGATGTTTAATTGTTTTTCTGTTAAATATATTAGAGACAATTGGGTGAGATAGATTGAGCTCTGGATGTGGAGTTACAAGAAAATGGTTTGAATCCTGGCTCTAATAGCTACTATTCCTGTAGTGTAGGGGCAGCTAGGTGGCTCAATGAATAGAGCACCAGCCCTGGAATAAGGAATGTTCATCCTCATGAGTTCAAGTCTGACCTCAGATGCTTACTAGCTGTGTGACCCTGGGCCAGTCACTTAGTCCTCTTTGCCTCAGTTTCCTCATCTGAAAAATGAGCTAGAGAAGGAAATGGCAAACCACTTTAGCATCTTTGCCAAGAGAACCCCAAATAGAATTGCCGACACGACTGAAAAGACTCGACAACAATAACAACAGTCCTGTTCCTTTTAGCAAGTCACTTGTTGTCTGTGCCTAATCATCTTCCTCAGCAACTGAGGATTATCATATTTTTACCATCTAGTTCAGGAGAGTGTGGCAAAGAAACTGCTTTGTAAACCTGAAAGCACTATAACCATGTGAAATGGATTACTGTAATGACAATAGAGCTTTTCAACTTAGAATAAGTTTATTTTGAACAATTTTCTTGTGCTGGCTCGAACTGTTGTTTAAGGGTTGAGTAGGTGTTTTCAGGCTGGTTTTGTTTTTTTAAGAAAGCATAACCAAACTTAAAATAGTGATTGGAGAAATTAAAAAGTTCTGAAACATGCATGGTTTTATAGATTACAGCAGGAACATTCAGTTCTTCAAGCTTTATTCTACAGTCATACAGTGTGAAGGATCAAGGAGAAAAAACATCGAAAGGGTGTAAGCATTTCTTAAGAATTGTGAAGCAGAGTGAACTTCTGTTCTGGGCTCAGGTTGGTATGTTTGGAAATTTCTGGAAAGGAGCTTTGGAACAGAGAAGTACAGAAACTCTAATTTGGGACCACTTATTTTCAGTACCATATAACCTCATAGCAGTTAAGCAAGTCATTTCAAACCAAAGTAGTAAAATGTCTTTGGAGATTGGAAAACCAAAGGAGGAGGTTTTTCTGACACTTGGGTCTATTTTTTGGAAACTCCAGCAGCTCTAGAGTCAGGAAAATGAATAGAAATGGAATTTTATTTTAAAAATACACCTGGACAAAATTAAAATTGAATATATGCTTGTGGAAAGATGTTTAAAAAAATAGGTTTATGACAGAAATGGGATTGGGTGTGAGCTGTTTTCAGTCTTTTCCATATTTTTATCCTGTTCTTTTGACAAAGCCATAAGTCACTTTTTAAAATAGTACTTGGAAAGTATGGATGACAATAGTAAAGCACTCAATGTAAATTCTACTGACCTAATTTTTGTTGGATCTTACTATCTGATTTTTTTTTTTAAGTTTCAGAAATCCTATCCTGAAGTCTACCAGGAGCGATTTCCCACACCAGAGAGTGAAGCACTGGTGTTTCCAGAAAAACTAAAACCGAAACCACAGCTGCTGATGTGGGCACTGAAAAAGCCTTTTCAGCCTTTTCAAAGAACTAGAAGTTTTCGGATGTAACTCGTTCTGAAATCATTAGTGATCTCTTTTTTGAGTGCCTGAATTTGGAAGAGAGGACAACATATGCATTTTGAGTACTGAAATATATGAAAAAGGTTATCTGATTTTAAAAAATGATCTTGAGCCATTACCAGTATTTTTATAAGCTTTGATTTCTATTTTTTATGTACAATTATTTTCACAATTATAGGCCAAGTGTTGTGTAGGAGGATGAAATTGGAAATTTTAAGAATGAGGTGTTTTAGTTCTCTTTAGTCATTTCTTTTAAATGTTATTTTCTTCAGTGAATTGTGTATAAGTGTGAGTGTGCGGGTGTGTTTTGTGTATGGGTGTGTAAAAGTTATTAGCTCTTGAGATACTTGTAAACAAGTTTGAAAAAGTGATTGTATGTACTTGAATGAGAACAAAACACTGGGTATTGTTACTATGCTGTTACTGCCTCTACAACTAGGTATGGTTTCTACTGTACAAATTCTGTGACTTTTCTTAACTGTACAAAGGTTCTTTAGGCCCTGTGCTGGCCCTTAGTTCCTTTACTCTTGATATATTGGACATCAAGATGAATTTCAATAAACTAACTCCCCCCATGACATATCATTCAGTATTTGTAAATCTGCCTAGAATGGCCGAATTTGGAACCTGGCCAAAGATGGAAGGCTAAACAAGATAAACTGCACCAGGTCCTCTCAGCCCTGTAATTTCTCGTCAAAATCTTTACTGTTTTTCTGTGAAAAACACAAGTGGGAGAAGGGCAATGAGACTGAGTCCTTTCACAAATCCATTTTTCCGAACCAACACAAATCTTTTTGGAAGGGTGTGGATGTATATATGTCTAAGTGAATAGGTAAATAAAATGCATTTTTTTCCTGTGGAGTTGTTATGCCTTCTTTTATATACACATGCACTTCTGTTACAACTTGTTACCAGAGGTCTCAATCACCATTGTCTATATCACTGCATACACTTGTTTATTTATGTAACGAAGAAGTAGGAGTTGGATTCCAGAATAATAGCTAGCAATAGCTAATATTTACATAGCTTACTATATGCTAAACATTGTGAGAAGTGCTTTACAAGCACTTCATTTGATCTTCATAACAACCCTAGGAGTTAGGTACTCTTATCTCTGTGTTATACATGAGGATTATGAGGCAAACATGATTAAGTGACTTGCCCAGGACCATACCCCACCTTTTAGGAGAACCCCTGCTTTTAGGGGGGGTCTGTTCCCCTTTCCTGTGAAGCAGCCCTAGCTTTAGAATTGGAATAACCTTTGCTGTTGAAATTGTTTTATTTCTCTCTTTGTACCTCTTTTACTGCTACTTCCAATAATTCTCACTTGTCTGTGATGTGAATTCCAAACAATCATCACATGAAAAGAAAAGGTGAATTATCACCAATCCACTACTTTTAACCTGTAGAGTAAGATAACAGTGGCTTTGCCACCCTCACACATCAAAACCCACTATTTCCCCCAAAGTAATGAGATTCTAATGGATTATATGGCCTGCTTCAAGATTTCAGGAGATATAATGCACATTTCTAGCCATATTATCAGTCTTAAAAACATGTCTCCCTTTATTTTACTTTGCTACTTCTTAGTGACAAATCTTTAGAACCTGAAATCACCTCATGAAAAGTTTTATAAGGATCTATAAAGTCTTCTGAATTGTAGGTTTTAAGAATATTAGTGAGACTCCAGCCATCCTATTGTTTCATTGTGACACAAGGAAACAGCTCTGCCATCTTTACTAATACATCATAGAAATAAATATGTGTTGTCAGATCCCCTCAGTGGACATGAGTTCTTTCTGGAAACAGAGCAAAAGGCCTTTTTATTCCCATGTTATTCTTGCCAACACAGATCAGAAGAAAGATACTTAAATTGTTCAAGCCTCAATTAAATATTTGCTCAATTCTCATGAAAATGAAATAACCTTTAGCTTTTGCTCTTTCAAAACAAAGTTTTATTTGTTCAAGGAGACACACAGAGCTGTCTTTTGTTCTCTACTCATGAAGGGTTCTTATCACTGTCAGTAGAGAAGGCTGCCAGCCACGGCTTTGCTTAAATTTGGTGTCTAAGATCTTCTCCAGTTTTTTCTTTATCCTCCCAAGGAAGCTCTGGATTTGTGTGCTTTCTCAGTTTGTGACAAGAATTCCCCTGAAGACAAGCATGGAGAAAGAGGTAGACTTGGCCAAGTCCATAAATTATCCTTATTTTGAAATGGGCACAGCTGGTGACATTTCAAAGAGAGATCATAATTGATTCTCAAGATCCTCCACTGAAATAAACAGTTCCCTTAGTCATCCTCCAAGGCCTGGTCTGAGAGGGCTTTTTAATGTCCTTCTTTAGCTGAATAAAAGCATTAAATGAATCTGTGAAGCTCCCTACTCTACTGTGTAACCCCATTCAGCCACAAAAAGCATTATTTTCATCTGACTAGAGCATCACTGTTCAATTAAAGATCTTGATTATATCATGATGGAAAATTATTTTTATGTTCAAAAAAGAGCTTGAGCTTAATACTTAATTAGAAAGCGAAACTTCACAAGATTCCATTGCTATGCATAGAGCATATAGACCAGTTATACTTTCTTGCATAATCAAGTAATTGAATAATTTCACCTTTCTTGAAAAATCAAATTATTTCAGCTGTATTTCCAAATTTGGGGTGAATTAACAGATATCTAAAAATCTTAATCTTTTTTCATTTCCTATTCATTTACACACACATACAGCCCAAGATTCATTCTTACAAAATGCCAGTCACCAATTACTTGTAAGCTCAGATGTTTCGTACTAAAATGTGTGGGGACCCTGTTCTAAATACTGCAACCAGAAATGGACACCTGGCTGATCTAAATGCTAAGTTGTGACCCATTTGTATGTTGTGTTTGAGCCACATTTGTTCAGCCCTGAGATATGCCTTCCCCAAAGGCAGATGCAAGCACATGCAAATGTGTGAAAACTCAGAATGGTGAGTAGCTGAATTCCACCACCTTGATCACACATTAAGATCTGCCAGGACTTCTCTTGTGGCCGCATGCTTCCTTGATGCAGTGGGGTGATGGTTTGGGATAAGATATCACCTTCTCTGTGAAGCAAAGCACTGATCTTTATGCCTGATGCTATTCAACTTGTGAACCCCAGATGATAGCAAGCATTATATGAACTGGTATCTTTGCCAGAGATGCTGGCAAACACAAATTGGGAACATTTGGTTGTAGAGATTTGCTAGAACATTCCCTCAGTTAATATTCTCCATATAGAATGTTTTCAGAATTCCTGGTCTGAATCCCACATCAGTGTTCCATCCCCATGGCAACATCTCCAGCCTATCAGGCTTTTAAAAACAAGTCCCCTGGGGAAGAGGAGGGATATGGAGGTGAAATGGCAAGCACTAAAAAGGCGCATGCCCATATGCCCAACCCTTGGTGAGGCACACTTGAAGAAATGGAATATATTCCACTCCTTGTGTCTATGCCCTTTGCATCTGAATTTTATTGGGGGTGGGGGAAGGTCTGTGTTTGCGAGAGAATTTGGAGTGTAGGGCCTAGGACAGAGTCTCTTAGGGACTAATAGAGCAAAGTAGGAAACAGAAGAGGGAGGGATTAAAAATGGTAAATGAGGGTCCAGTGACTAGAAATTTTGCAGGCCAAATTGGGGAACTTAATGGTTACTGAAAATTCTTTGCTAGGCTCACAAAAAGATACAGGCAGCATGATGTAATGGAGATTGCAGGATTTAGAGTGAGGATTCAAAATCCTGACCTCGGTGATAATTATATCCTGTGTTATCTTGAGCAAGTCACTTCTCTGTTCCTTAGCTTTTTAATCAATAAAAAGAAGGGAAAATGAGAAGTGGACTCCCTTCAAACTCCAGAACTATGATTCTATAAAAATGTTCTAGCTCAGTTAGATGCTAACTCACCTAAGCTCCCTCCAAGACACATATAAAAATAAAATATGGAATTAAAATTATTTTTTTTCTGATTTAGCACAATGTGTACTTCGTTGGCTTATTCTCATTTGTGAGGTTGTTTTACAGATTCCGCTCTTTAAATAACATTCTGATACTTAAGGGAAAATGATAAAATATCTCTGGCAGTTTTCAACTTTCAAGCTCTGTATTCTGTGCTGAAAAGTAATAAACCTATTTCCTTGCAGATGAAACCTGACTGAAGGTAAAACTTAAAATTTGATAGCTATGCCTAAGTAGTATGTAATTTACTTCTGAAGATGGGTTAAAGGATTGGGAAATGTTTAGATTGAAGAAGAGAAGTTTTAGGGAGATCATGGTAGTTGCCATCCTATATCTGAATGCTTATTATGTGATTAGACTTGTCTTGCAGGTTATGGAAGGTAGTTCCAAGACCAATTGGTAGCAATTTAAAGGAGGTAGATTTCAGCCCAATTAGAAGGACAAACTTCCAATAATTAGAGCTGTCTAAAATATGTAGGGACAGCTAGGTGGTGCAGCAGATAGAGTATTGGGCCTGGAGTCAGGAAGAGCTTCCCGAGTTAAAATCTGGCTTCAGACACTTACAAGCTGTGTGACCCTGGTCAAGTCACTGTTTGTCTCAGTTTCCTCATCTATAAAATGAGCTGGAGAAGCATCAATAGCAAACCACTCCAGTATCTTTGCCAAGATACTGGCAGATGGAGTCATGAAGAATCAGACGTGATTGAAATGGCTAAACAATAACAACAACAAAATATAATGGAATGCTTGGAGTATTAAGCCTTCTGGGAGAGTGTGGATGACCATTTATTGTTGATGTTGTTGGCTTTCCATGCTTTTGGGTAATGGCTATATTATCTGATCTCTGAAGGCTATTCAAAGTGCAATTTTACATAGAATTGCAGACACAGTGTGGCAGGAGAGACAGTATGGTGTGCTGTATAGAATGTTGGATTTCGAATCAGGAAAACCTGAATTCAAAACCCATCTCATACACTTACTATATTGTCTGTGTGCTTGGGCAAGTCAACTCCCCAAGCCTTAGTTTTCTTATCTGCAGAATGGGGATAACATCATCTTACAGGGTTGTGAGGAGCAAATGAGATAAGTGCTTTGTTAATCTTTAAGTGCTATATAAAGGTAAATTGTTGATTTATAGAATTTAGAGAAGGGAAGGACCTCAAGGATCAGCTAGTCCTAGCCCTTCAAATTATAGATGATGAAAGTGAGAGCCAAAGAGGAAAAATAATTCACCTAAGGTCACAGAGCTAGTAAGTGTGAGAATACAAATTTGAACTCCAGGTTCTCTGACTCCAAATCAAGTGATGTTCCTATTCTTCTTTCTGTCTTTCATTATTTCCTCTCAGAATGACGGTGACAATTACGCGTTTATCTCCCCTTTCCCCTCCCCCACCTCTTCTTGCATATTCCTAGTAGGAAGAAATTAGGATTTAGTTTTAGGGTGATTGACTTCTTAGGACTTGAGAACCTTTCAACAATGTCAGAAATGAACCTAAAAGAAAAATGGGAGATCATATTGAAGGGTCTAGTACAGGGGGTGGGTAACCTGCCGCCTCGAGGCCACATGTGGCCTTCTAGGTCCTTGGGTGCAGCCTTTTGACTAGTCCAAGTTTTACAGGACAAATCCTTTTATGAAGGTGATTTGTTCTGTGAAGTTTGGAATCAGTCAAAGGGCCGAATTTGAGGACCTAGAGGTCCACATGTGACCTTGAGGCAACAGGTTCCCCACCCTTAGTCTAGTATATGATATTGGATTTATGGACCACCTTTGGTAGGATACAACCTGACATGTATTATTTTTGCCAATGCAAAATCATCTGGTGATGATAGTTATCTTAGAGGCAACTAGGTAGTCTAGTATATAGAGTGTAAGACCTAGAATCAGGAAG